CGCGCCTACCGGGGATCATCTTAAAATATTCATCATCGTATCGGCAGAAACTGTCGTTTCGCCGACGGTGCCGGGTGACGGCTGAAAACTTCAAGCGGAAATGACTAGCGATTTGACGTGTGTTGCCGCGTCTGTTAGCACTCCGGATAAGACCCCTAAGTGGTCGGGGAAGATACGTCACGTAACGGATTCGACATTATCGTGGAAAATCCGTACGATCGAAAATTTACGACGACATGGATCTGAATTGTACGCTTTCTGAGGAAAGCGGATCGTATAGAAATCGGTTGGATCGTGTCTGCGAAAGACAATACGCTCTCTTTCCGCGTCTTAATTCAGTATCGGAGAATCGGATTTGCACAATCGAGTCTTTCAGAAACGTTGAAAAAGTAGAAAATTGTTTTTAAACAATGAATTAATTGAAAACTGTGTGCGTGTGTGTATAATTGTTCGATTTTACTTTTTATTTTTTATTCAAATTGTAAGAAAATATTGCGTATACTATATTTATGCAATTTCATAAATTTTTTAAGAAATAAATATTTATTTAATACACACACACACACACACACACACACACACAAATAGTACAGTATCATAAACTTCGTTTGTGAGTAATGTTTAAACTATTGTCGCTAGTATTGAAAAAGATATTGAAAAATTACACAAATAACTCGTTGTAACAGAGTTTGTATTTAAATAAGAGGATTTATATATTTGACACATTCGGTTTTTTTATGTGATATTGTCTATGTATGTTTTATCATATATGTATATTTGTGTTTCAAAAACTATAAATATGCAATTCACGATATGTAAAATGCTTCTCTCTACATAACGTGTACAATTTGAACATTTATGCTTTTGATTTCAAAGAAAAGGTAGCAAGGGATTTCTTAAATAAAAGTTCTAGGGGTTGCGACTAGATCGACATTTTCCCGACAGCTTGCCGACTATCCAATTACGTTGGAAGAAATCGGAACGAAGTCGTATCACCAAAAGGCAAGAATTCTATCAGCTTACATTGTCGCGTGCGGTATAACGGAATTCCCTTCGAGTAGCAGAGCTCGTAGAAAAAGGAGAAGACAAGAAAGATTAGATAGATTTTATGGAGATTTTTTTTTAAAGGAATAAAATAAAGTGTAAAAGGAAAGAAAATTCTCGGATAAGGAATCTCGTGACTGTCGGCATTCCATTTATTTACTTGTAAATGACGTAAACGTCACACCATAGCTTTATTGACCGTTCGAGTTTGTGGACTTCTAATTCGGTCATTTCCGCCGGTCGTTTACGTCGAATTTTGCGAATAGCTGCATGTCTCTTCCTCTGTAATCAAGGCACATTCCTTAAAGTGGGCGATGGCTATGTGGCTCGCTTCAAGCGGCACCCTCAAGTGCTGCCCGAAGGTTTGTCCCCTCGCCACAGTGATAGCGACTGTAAACGGCGTGAGGCAACGCGCGAGTAATTCATTTCCGTGCGTCGCTCATCCGTCGCGGTCTTGCGGCATGATTAATCGCGATCGTGCGGATAGAACGCCACGTCTGACAGCCGTACGAGGCGTGCAAGATCTCGTGCTTTACGAGCGAGCTCGAAGTATTGAATAAGTAACACTTTATTAGGCTGGGGCGGCGTGAAGATGCCTCCCTCTCGTGTCCCGTTCGCGTAAAAAGAACGGGACCGACAATCTCGTCGAGACAAACGATCGGAATGGTAATCAGATAAGCGTTTCTTCCGCGCAAGAAAGCCGCAGCACGACGACTCACTTTCTCTCGCAAGCTCTCGGATAAAGCTGTTCGAAAGCCCTGCGAATTCGTTCCCCACGACGGGATCTTTTTTTCGGCGGACTGACGCTCACTCACCCTCACCCTCACGGTTTATCGAAGCCGGCCGGATTATTGTGCGGACGGACAGAAGTCCGCCACTAAATATGCGATTACGCCCTTTAATTCGTCCTCCCTAGACTGTCAGAATTTTTTCTATCTCGTTTTCGAGAAAAATTTCCCGTTGGCCCGCGCCAACCGAGAGAACCACGAGATAAAGCTTCTATTCCCAGTGGCACAAAAACTTCTGCTTTGCAGCTTATACGACCGGGGACTAAGTAAAAGTTTCGTTTAATCCAATCGAGGATGTTACCGGCCATGATGCTCTCCATGGAGATGGTTTCCTTGAAACATCTTACTTTACTGATTAATGAATTAGAATCCGCTTTTGTGACACGGATAATATTTTCATGATTCTCGTATATATTTAACACGCGGTCCACTCGCTCGTTAATTTGTACCCTGGGATCTGATCCCTTAATTTCGTAAGAGAGATAAGAACTTTCCGTGTCTTGAATTTTCCCGCAAAATTTTTCTTAATAATGAAACAAAAGTGTCTCCTTTATACGATTGCACTGTCTTGCAAACTTTGAAATAATATAACCGAGCGACCTAAACTCAAATATAACGTTGGTAACGTTAAGTTAAAAAAACGACTTTAATTTTATAAATGCACGTAAAGGAATTGTATGAAAATTTAAAATTAACGATGATTCTATAAAATACATATATTTTTCTCTCCGCCAATTTTACGATACTCGATTAATCAAACGTATATATTGATATTAAATTTTAGATTAAATAAATTTAATTATAAGAAAAGAACGAAAGAAAAGTTGAACATATAATGTAATTTAACTAGATTAATTAAATGTCAATAATGTTAGCTGTTATAATATTATGAGAAATATTCTATTGTGTATATTAGTGTCGCGTAAAACTGATTGCAATGGTGATTAAACGTCGTCTATTCAGAGTATTTTAATCAAGGGTATCCAATTAATATAATGTATGTTTGCGATCTTATCAACAGATTGAAAGTATTCTCGCGTATCTCGTGGAGGACGATTGATTTTCTACAGCGATGCGGTGCTGATGAGATCACTCGTTCCCCGGATGGGGAAACGAATTTGAATTACAAATACGGCGACGATAATGGAATAAATGTTATTCGGCCGAAAGCTCGATTAATCTAGAAGTTCGAGAACGCAGCGCGACTGCAACGGATTGTTCCCTGCAAACTCACTTGCTACCTTGTAAATAGACTTCACACGATATAACCAACGTGAAGTAGTTGCCCTCGAATTGATATCGAGTTTCCATATATTGCATATTTTTAACAAACCAATTATAAAAACTATTAATCCGATACTTTAAATAATTGTCATCTTCAAAAACTGAAAACCAATAACGAAAAAAAAAAAACAATTTTGCTGGCAAATAAAAAATTTGTCAAATAAAGATCTGAAAATAATTTTGGGACCATCAAAATTATTATGTGGGATGCTTAAACATGATAGTAATATTGTAAAAATTGTTGATTTTTTAGCAATCAATTTGTCCATAATTTGTACATAATTTTCAAAGGCTCAAAATTATTTTTATATTTGGCCAAATTTTTAGATTAGCCAGCAAAATTATTTTTTCCCATGTGTGCATTGTTTTACAAATTTTAATGGACAATATTCGGCTTCATGTATCTTGTAGCTTTAAAGCAGGCGTCTACCGTTGCGGTAATTACGATATACCACGGAGCACAACGTGAGCTTATAACGCACCGTACTATAAACCCTCATTGCGCTTGCGAGCCGGCCACGGTAAGAATTTAACCAGGCTGTCCTTAATTCAAATTCTCGGCCTTCCACTCCGCTTATCCCGCACTTTGTCGCGAGTTTTATATTTTCTCTTCTCCATCACAACGACGCAATATGCGCGCGACGTCATTTTGCCGAAGTCTGGAAAATATTCAACGAATATAAGTAAGCGTCGCGCTTGAAAGTGCGACGTAAGAAGGTCGCGACGAGATGCGAATGGAAACGAGGGCACTGTGACATTAAAGCGTAATGCGCTGTAATTTTTATGACTTGTGACATATAAGCCGTGGAAGGAGAATCTTTTCTAAGCAGCGAGACTATCAATCTCTTAGGCGATGCGCTTGAAAATATCCGGGACGGGAATATCTCCGCGGAACGTCCCGCTAATGAATTCGCCTCTCTCATTTCTCTTCGAAAGTCCCATGATCGTCTGTAATTTGAAGAACGATGCTCGGTATACAAAACTCATCTTCCTTTTTACTTATTCTTAACATCTTTGGACGAAGAAGAATCGGAGGGCTAATTGTGCTCAGACCGAGAGAGGTCGAAAGCACACGAGATTCATCTCCGTCCGAATTAAATACTATTTATCTATTGTACAAATACGACTCGACATTCGGCGCATCGAAACGTGACTTCGTAATATGTTTGACCATAGGACAGGAAGCGGGCACCGTATGTACCATACGTAGCGGAACGAACAACTGTTACCGCCGGTTATGTGGACCAGGAGTCGCGACTCGCCTGGCTTCTGTCTGACGTAAACGACTTTTCTACTAGGTGCTACGCCTGACGCAATCTGGACTCGTTCTACTCGGTTGATCATCAATGCGCTTTTTCTACTGTCGCGTTAGCCGTTCTTGGGCCATTTAAATATTCCATCCGTGCGGAATACACGTACGCGTTTCTCGAGTATTAACGTTACCAATTCGGGCTCCGAACACCTTTTTACAGAATTAATAATAATGTTTAACACTGACTTATTCGTCAAAAAAATGATATATCGTTGCAAATATTTTTCTAATTTACCTTTGGGCGTAATGGAAAACTGCGATTTATTATAATGCACACGTGAAAATTATGAACTCTGAAACGTATGTCTGTTATTAGTTGGATTTATTACTCCGTAATTTTCACGGTGCCGGCGTTACGAATGAAAAGTAATAGCACGCATTCAGAAAAAATATCGCGATATTGAATATAAAGCTGCAATTTATTAGCAGTACATACAAAGTGATTATAAACTGCGAAATATATTCCGTCATGATTTGAGAGGATTTACACTTGTCTATTTTGTTATTACTTCGATACCATCCTTAAGCGTTTTATTATATTTCTTTTTAATCCAATAAAAAATCAATTAATATATGCAGATAAAAAGTTTATTAATGAAAGTAATTTACATTCCATGTCAGATTGGTGCACTTCAAATCGCAAATAAATATCTATGAAGCATTTTATGCGGACACCTCGAATTAACGTCGGCGTAGCGGTTTCCTGCAAGAGAATTAAAAGGTAAAGTGAAACCTTAATCAAAGCTCTGCATGGTTAACATCATTCGTCGTTCGTCGTTCATGACGATACATATCCTTTGCATCTGGGGACGTGTGTCACGCAATCGATATTTTACAAAAAAGAATCAGGAGTGAAAAGTCCATTGAGGAGAATAATCGTATTCTAGACATATATTAAACAAATGTTATATAATTGTATTCTAGACATATATTAAACGAATGTTTTATATATATATATATATATATATATATGCGAGGGGTAGGGAAATAACGCATTACCGTTACAGTTACTAATAAAAAGTAACTGTAACGGTAACATAGTTACTATTTTTCAATAATAGTAACGAATTTAACAAATACTTTCATCGTTACTTTTTATATTTTGAATTTATGACATAATTTTTATATATTCGATGTGCAGATCTTCGATTGATATTCTGTTGTTATAGACATAATCTGTTATTGTTTAAAACTTGTCTTAAGAATAGTTTTAAGACAAGTTTATCATAAACTAAACATAAGAACAGATTTTACAAATGCCTTTTAAAAATTTGTAAATAAAAAATTGAGCATAAAAAAGTGTAAATTTGCTGTGTTTATGAATTTAATGAAAACCATATCTTTTGTATTTGCATTTTGAATATTTTAAAATCTCCAGTCAATTTTTTATAGTCTCGTGAATTTGAAAGAAAAAGTTTTATTATTTTTACACTGATAGTTTAACAAAAAATATGAGAAAAATTTATTTTTTATTTAAGTAGATCTCGTTTTAGTAAAAATAATTTTAAAAAAGTAAAAATACCTAATCGTTCCTTTTTAAGTAATGATAATGATAACGAGTTACCATTCAGAATTAGTAACTGATAACGATAATTATTTACTTTTTTGACTCGGTAACAAGTGACGGTAACGAGTTACTTTTAAAAAGTAACTTTCTCAACCCTGTATATATGTATATCTGTAAAATGAGCCCTGACCAGATGTGTTGAAATGGTCTCGAAAAAGTAACAGGAAGGCGAGACCGGTGGTCGACGGCGCGATCCGGCGCAGGTGTCTGGAATTAACGTCGCATCGCCGATTCCCGAGGACGCTTAAGTAGAAAGCGGACCGGATGGAAGTGTGCGGTCCGGTTTTAATCCGCAGTGCCGATAAATGCTTCGGCAAACTTCATTAAAGTCAGGTCGCTGCCTTTGTACGGCCACGGCCACGGCCACGGCTTCGGCTCGTGACACTAGAGGAGAATATTATTATAATATTGTTGTTGCTGGACGTTAATTAGCGAAAATACGAGGCTATTCTGATAATGTTAAATTTCGTTGCCGCAACGGCACCGTCCGACAGCCCCGTTGCACCGACTGTTTTCAAGAACTTGGCGCTCTCCCGCCATTTTACACGCGTTTTTTGACGATTTCGGGAATAAAGTCGCGTTGTTCTCGACGTCATTAACCACTAATTAACCACTAGGAGCTGTAATATTATGGGAGATTGGTTTGAGGAAAATATAAGCGAGCTTTAATTAGCGCCCGGGCGCGGAAAAATCGATAGAATGCTTTCCGTAGTTTTGCACGCCGACATTTAAACGCACCTATCTAATATTCATCTTTCATGAAATTCCCGTCGAAATAATGAGAACTGAAAACGCAAATTTATTGCCGCAATTAAGATATTAATGCAGCATATACGTATGCGTGGAGCGTAACATTTCGTAATTATTGTTCTTTTCATTTACGGATGCTTGGAAATTTCCATGGATAAGAATTTGACGGCGTTTTTTTCTTATCTTGTCATTTTTAATATTAAGTATTTCGTTATTAAATAGTTGAGCCAAGTAAAAATCATATTGAAGTAAGGTGCGTTATTAAAATTAAAATTATGTAATCTACTTATTATTAAGTTTAAAAAAAAATTTCAACAAAATGACTTCTTTCTGCTTACAATATTCATTATTCGGCTTTCTCTTACGAGAAATCTACTCGAGTAGTTTATCGAAAATTAGTGAGCACTGTGCACAAATCTGGATCACTTTGCGCACAATTTCGATTAATGGGAAATCAATATATACATATACATTAATTAATATTGCATGTGTAGTTGCGCGGCATAATGTAACATATATAACCTGTGGTGTAACATTTTGTGACAATTGGTACGTTATCGCATACGAAATCAATAAATCAAACCACGTTGGCGCGTCCACTCTCAAAACGCAACGCGAGTATTAATTAAAATGTCAATTTATGTGTATATTCGTATGTAAATAGGAGTAATCGTGCAACAGGGCGAAATCGGGGAAAATTCATGAAAGAGGTATATTGTCCCAATCTTTTAAAAAGGATATTCAAAGAAACACAAACATCGCTCTCGCTCACGGTTTGTTTAAATAAAGCAATTCACGAAATAACGCAATTTCGCGGAGGGAAAAACGCGACACGGCGAAAGGGATTTTAAACTGACGTGCTCCCGATACGAGGGAAGGCAGCAGCGGACGAGAGAAGGGGCGAGTGAACGAACGAAACAGAGCAGGGAGGGAAGGTGGTACACGGGAGGGGGGTGTCCCGGAAGATGAGGAAGACGGAAAATAAGACGATGTGGCGAGGAGCGCGAATGGAAAGGATCGGACGGAATGAATGAGCGAGAATTGAAGGCCGCAGCTTCCATTCCAGCTGTGGCCTTCAAGAATCCCAACCCCTGTGAAAATCAATGTGAGCCGTTGTGGTCTCGCTACTAACCATTCTGATAACGTGACGCCTCTTCACCCTCTTACCCTCGCTGTGCACCTAAAAATACACGTGCGTCTTTATGCGGAAAGTGAAGTTTCCACGGCCGCGGTTCTGCGAGTGCAGCGAGAGTCAAACGTCCTCGAAACGCGCAATGATACGCGCGAGATGCAATTTGGGAGACGTTCGCGAGAGAGGGGGGGAAGAGGAGAGAGAGAGAGAGAGAGAGAGAGAGAGAGAGAGAGAGAGACGAC